CCGGGTACTTGTCCAACTGAAAGGCAACATGTACTTCATGAAGGAAATACGTATAACCAACCTCCTGCAAGTAAAAAGGAAAGTTTATTCTGGTGACAGTCTATAAGATGTTAATAGATTTTCCTGTCAATATTTGCTCTCAGATATTCTTAATACGTTTCAAATTCTGCCATGGTCTTGAAAGCTAAACGTGCTTAACACTCCAGGCTTTAAAGGAACTCGTATTTTCTCCTATCAGAACGTACCAGTTCTACGAACAGGTTGACAAATGACGCACATGATGAGAAGAAATGGCAGGATATTTGAGTCTGCTAGGACCAATATCAGATGAGAATACATATTTTAAGAGTAACTGACTATAAATCAATAGCTACGAATCTTTGGGCGAAAATAGTCGCTGACAATATGACTGCCAACTTATGTATCTGTAAGATTTGAGGTTTACACTGCGGCGACTATGAAGAATGCCATTTTCTGGGATGTGGCGACGTGTAGATCTTGTTTGAAGAGCCGTTTCGGAGGAATGCTTCGCCTCTATCTTCAGGGTAGAATAATTCTGCGAGCGAGGAACTACCTTGAGTGGGTGGCTGCAGACTGAGTCACCAGTCGAAAAGAACACATTTATGAATTTGTTTAAACCTGCCATATTTAACAAGAAGACTCATCCGATATTGTTTTGTGCCCCGTTTTTTCGTCATGACAGTTCTGTTGCATGATGCGTATACCTTCTTGTTTAAGGTACGCAAATAACATCCTCGAAGTCATCAGGATTAAGAAGTACAGTCCATTGCAATGGAAACGAAGTATTTCTGTTAAACAATACCTCACCTCAGAATTACTGGGTTTTTGAATTTTGTCCATCGTCCGGTATTCTAGAAACTAGAAAACACAGGGTTTCGTAGACAGATCCAGTTTCCGAAACTTTATGTTTTCTAGTTTCCAGAATAACAGACGATGGACAGAATCCAAAAAAAGAAAACCCAGTGATTCTGAGTGTTATATACCATCGTCAGAACCCTTTAAAACCTAATTACCTCGCCTGTCTTTCACAAATGAAGCTTGTTTATCCAATCACTTCTTTGTGTATACACTGCACTCGCTCATGGAGCTGAGCCCTTCTTGAGAAGCTGCCAATTGTGCAGCTACTCAAGGACTTCCCAGTATTTTATGGAACCTGAAGGTTCATTACCGTGTTCACAAGAATCATCCAGCCGTCCCTATCCTGATCCAGATCAATCCAATCCATACCATCTCGTCCTTTCTCTCTGAGATCCATTTTAATATTGTTCACCCACCTACGCCTTGGTCTTCCCAGTGGTCTCTTTCCTTCTGGCTTTCACACAAATATCTTACATGCATTTCTGCTCTCCCCCATTCGTGCTACATGCTCTGTCCAACTCATCCTCCTTGACTTGATCATTCTAATTATACTTGGAGAAGAGTACAAGTTATGAAGCTCCTCATTATGCAGATTTTATGTATACACCGCTCATGTTAAATTCTGAACACTTGAACAAGATGATTAAAATTATTTACATGCTGGAAGAAGTTATTAGCCGATCACAGTGGCCGCGCGGTCTAAGGCATGAACTGTCTTCACTCGCTCGAACTCTGGGATCGTAAGTTCGAATCCCACTCAAGGCATGGATGTTTGTGTTTGTGTTAGCGGCCTTTCGACTGGGTGATCTCCCGTCCAAGGAGTCCTACCGACTGTCTCAGATTAAGAGAAAATAAAAATGTTCTTCCCTGGACACCTTAATAAGGTGTAAGAGGAGCAGATTATGAAAGAAAGGAAGCAAAAGAAGTTGATCCGCAGTATGACGTAGGTTTTATGCTTTTCATGACCTTAATATACGTATGAGAGGAGGTGCGGGGGGGGGGGTTATGTACAAATTGTTGGCAAGCAAGCTGCTTAGTCGACACCATGTAGTTGTTATGAGAAGACTACCGGCGCAATGGAGACTGAACCACTACCGGTACTACATGGTTAATTGTGTCAGCCATGAATGGAGTCACTATCGGGCAGTTACTGGAACAGCGACTGAATACACATGTAGGCTGTTTAGGGCGCTTCAATGCATGAAGGAGGGACAGAGTTGCAATGTTGATTTTGACGAGCGTGTGCATTGTGACTTAAATAACAACACGAGTGACGGGACAAGTTTAAACCTGTCGAATCTGAAACAAAAAGAAATGAGCATAACTTGATATGGGATCTTGTTCTGATAATTTATTTCTGTTCTGATTTTTTTTAGTTAAAATTATGCTCACTTTTTTGGTCGTAGTTTCAGAGATAATATTGTCACGTGACTTATAGACGGGGTTTGGATTGATGAATCGATTTTTTGGATACTCGCAAGTCGTAAGTACAAATAATTATAAATGACAGTCTGAGGAACACTCTAACTATTAAAAATGGTAAAGTTGTCCCTGTGCTCAACGAATTAAGCACCACGCCATGAAGGCGTATGGGGGAGTGGATGTATATATTACATATTTTTTGACCTCGGCACTAGTTGGAGGTGAGTGGTCAGCTTCACGCCACGGGGAAAAAATCCCTGTGACCTAGTGGACAGGAGGTTGGGTGGACCACAGAGCCGGTCTGGACGATTTTGAGGAGTTAAAATTCTTGACTCTACCGGGACTCGAACTCCGACCTTTGAGTCGTCCATCCCGTAGCCAGTCACTATACAGACTACGCTACCCCGGCTCACTGTATCTATAAAAAACTCCGTGGCCTGTAGTCCGCAAGCGAACCATACCGACCGAGAGACCGCTGCTTGTCGCCGAAGTTAGTGCCAACTTTACTCGATAGAGGCTGTCGCGTGGTCAGTGCAACGAATCCCCACGGCCGTTAATTTCGGTTCTCTAGACCGGAGCCGCCATTTCCTTGAAGCACCTCCTCAGTTATCCTCACGAGGCTGAGTGAACCCAGTTCCAGACCCACTACTTCTCAGAAAATGTGGTAGCTCCTGGAATCGAACCCGGGACCTCTGGTTCTGGAGCCAGGAGCTCTGCCCACTAGACCATAGAGACACAGTGTTCATCCTCAATCCTCATTCGTCAGGACCTATATCCCTTTCGAACTGTGCGTGGCTATCTCAATCTCAAACTAACTTACCCTCACGCGGACCGAATATGGATCACCGCCTCCAGGCTTTCCTACTGTGATTTCAGGAGTACGTTATACCGGATACACTTCTAATACCGTGGCAACCAAAACTGGTTCCCGGCAATGGACGTATATTCTCGTAACGCTCAGGAACGTGTTTTTAACCAACCGTTGTCTAGCAATGGACGTCTCTGCTGAATTAAATATTCCAGCTTTCAGGTGTCATGTCACAATATAAGCAGAGCATCTTAAAAATGAAACGTTATATAATATAATTTCAGATAGTTCGGTCTTCTTTCTTCGTGCCATCTTCAGTTCGTTTCCTGCATTGCATTTATTTCCATTATCATTTTCCATTACAACAAACCTCTTGGAATTACTGCCACAATATCGATTTGTTTTTCCTTGGCACTACAGCTCCAGTGGGCCTAGGCTTACCTCCATGAACTTCTTCGTTCACTTCGGTTTTTCTAGATCTTACACATTCGGTAGGACTCTTTGGGCGGGTGATAAGGTCTCTACCTTACACAAACACAGAAAAACGCACACACACGAACTAAACATCCATGCCCTGAGTCGGATTCGAACCCACGATCCCTGTCTCCAAGCGAGCGAAGACAGTACATGCCTTAGACCGCTCGGCTACTGTGACCGGCAGTGTATAAGAATAATATATAAGAATTCAGTTCGTACCTCACAGGAAACAGATCCGAACCCACGATCCCTGTCTCCAAGCGAGCGAAGACAGTACATGCCGCAGTAGCGATTCAGCGCCACCAATACCTTCTTACTGTACCAAAGTTCTGGCCGCATATGACTGCACTTTACGTAACCAAAAAATTGTCACTGATGGAACAGTAATTTACTGTGTTTACTGATTCTCGAATCAGAGCTATAAAAATATTATTAAAGATATAGATTTGTTTGTTAATTGCTTTGTTACTCGTGTTTTTTTTTCTCAAAATAAGTGCACCCATTGCATTTACTTATTACTTAGAGTGGTCAAGTAGATTGTAAATTGACGTAAAATAATAAAAAAACAGTTTACGTATTGCTGCGTAAACACACTGGCTGTACTTTCAATTCCAGCTGTTTAATTTTCAGGACTAGAGAACAGAACTACCGTAATTATTAATGTGCGTGGTAAAACGCTTGCAGAATGAATGGATTATTAATTGGGTTTAAGATTATAATATTAAGTCGAATATTCCGTTGACTATAGAACTTTATGTTCAATGAAGAAACGTGTGTCTTTGCCAAATAGATATATTTAGCACAGGCCAAGGCTGTATTGTTTGGAAGGGACAGTTGCGAATTTGTACAGAAAATTCTACCCCCAAAATTTAGCAAGGAAGCAGTGATTGTGTTCTTAAGAATATAAATAGAGCTGAGCGATCTATTTATTACTCCTGAGAATATAAATGACCGCCTCTGTGTTCTAGTGGCCAGAGTTCCTGGTTACAGATCCAGAGGTCCTGGGTTCGATTCCCGGCGCTGCCACATTTTCTGATTAGTATTGGGTCTGGAACGGGATCCACTCAGCCTCGTGAAGATAATTGAGGGCTACTTTAAGGAAATAGAGGCTCTGGTCTAGAAAATCGAGAATAACGTCCGTGGGAATCCGATGCGCTGACTAGGCGACACCCTCTATCCGCAAGAGCTGGCACTAACTTCGCCGACAAGCGGCGATCGTTCGGTCGGTATAGTTCGCTTGCGGACTACAGGGCACAGAATATAGTTTAATTTTTGCACTAATTTTTTTCTTACGAAGCAATACTCCGCCGTTTGCATACTCGAGCACACAGATTTCTTATAATTGGTTTCTTCTTGTTCAGACAGTGAAGACAGTGAGACAGAGGGCGGCCTGGGCAACGTGACCCGAGTGGTTATGCGACCCCCCGGTCAGAGCGGCAAGGCGAAGCGTGGCCACCTATGTTTTGACGCTTCCTTTGAAACCGGTAAGTCTGAATGTTTCAGGATAAAATGATCTGGTTTCTACTTTATAGGACCAGTTCCTCAGGCCGTTAGATGTCCAGATGCACTTATTACAGTTGTATTGTTATTTGCCAACTTAAATTCGAGTTTTTCGAGATTTGCTTAACTCGTGGTCACAGTTCAGCCTTCGGACACTGGCGCTACTTTCCGGGTACCACTCTTCGAATTTAGAACACATTATTCTTGTTCATACAAAGTAATTTGCCACCTATATAACTTGTACCTAGTTATTTTCTTTTCGTACTTATTTCTGAGTCAAATCAAAACCTAATTCAGGGGGAAATTTGGAGTACATTCAGTCCGAAAACTTTTGTCTTCTCGTCTGCTGTCCAAAAACGTAAACATTAGAATATACAAAACTATAATTTTGTCTGTGGTTCTGTATGGGTGTGAAACTTGATCTCTGACATTAAGAGAGGAACATAGACTGAGGGTGTTTGAAAACAGGGTGTTGAGGCGAATATTTGGACCGAAGAGGGATGAAGTGACAGGAGGTTGGAGAAAACTGCATAACGAGGAGCTTCATAACTTGTACTCTTCTCCAAGTATAATTAGGATGATCAAATCAAGGCGGTTGATATATGCAAGGCATGTAGCACAAATGGGGAGAAGAAGAATGCATATAGGATATTGGTGGAAAAGCCAGAACGAAAGGTACCAATGGGAAGGCCAAGCCGTAGGTTGGTGGACAATATTAAAATGGATTTTATGGAGGCAGGATTGCATGGTATGGATTGGACTGGTCTGGCTCAGGATAAGGACCTGTGGAGGCCTCTTGTGAACACGGAAATTAACCTTCAGTTTCCATAAAATGCTGGGAAATTCTTGAGTAGCTGAACAATTATCGGTTCCTCAAGAAGTGCTCAGCTCAATGAGAAACGATGAATGGATGAATTAATTTTTGAGTAAAAATTAAGTGATGATCTCTTCATAGTATGTGTAAGTAAATAATGAAATTGTACAGCATAGAATAGAAATTAACATATAGTTCGCTGGCATTTGCTCAAAATGGTGGGAAGTCAGAGCTATAGGCTGAAAGAAAAACAGTTAGAATTTCTTATAAGGCATCATGATCACTCTCTTTATATGCACTAAACGAAAATTCAATATATACAGGACATCACAGGAAGAAAGTTCAGTATTCTGGAAGGTCAGAGTATCGGTCATTCTGAGCAAAACTTCTGTATATACCCGTGTCGTATTCCAAACAGTTCCCGAGATAGAGCTATGTCACTATACAGTTCCAAAATTGTTCATATCAGAGAGATATTATGTACTGTTTTTAATACCGGCATTTATTGTTCAGATGACTAAATTGGTACTCTTTACCTAGTATTATACATTTTCGAAAATTCCACCGTCAGCATTAATGCACTTTACATCTTATGTCAGGACGTGGCGTGTTGCTTGTCTGAGTATGTCTTGACGTTTCTTTACAGGGGTGTCAACGTGAAATAACTCTGTCTCGGAAACCGTTCGGAATAGAACACACATACAAATAAATCCTTTTTTCTTAGAATGACCGATATTACGACCTCCCAGAATATTTACCATTCCTCCTGGGACACACTGTATAATATGGTTTTATATGTGTGGGAAATCTACGTACCGCTGCTCTCAGCACTGTGCCATATGCACGTAACGTTGAATGGTAGAATGATTGATGAATGATGAATTTAGAAAAAGATTTGAGGAAAAGCTGTTATTGAATAATTGACACGTATCCCGAAACTGTTTAGAAACAGTATTATAACGTGGATCGCCAGAGCGTTGCTGGGTAACGGACCGGTAAACATACGAGATACACGTTGGAAACAGTGGAACAACGAGTTTATGCAACCCGCTTCTAGGCAATGGTTCAGAAAACAGACTTTTTCGCAGGCGCAATGACGTCACACCACAACAGTGGTACCTATCACGTAACTGGCTTTATATGGAGTCCGTCCCGCCATCTTTGCTATGTAATCGCTCGGTAAACACGTTACATTGCTCCCTCCTTAAGGCTGTTCGTCCCGAATAGCCTATCGGAGGACCACCGTTCCTTTTCTTCAAAGAGCTGTGCTTGCAACGTCATCTTATGGTCTGGCTTGGCGTTTCTTTGCTACCCTTTGTCCGTCCTCTAACCGCTACAATATGATCTTCCCATTCAAACGTAAGACAGCAATTGACTATTAAACTCCGAAAGAGCAAATAACATATTCTTCAGTTCTGTAAATGCGATACTAAACCATGTTACAGAATTCATATAGAGAATGGATTTTCATTCAACAACACGAGTGAAACACGAAAAAACAGCGATTCGATAAAAGTTATAAGTTATTTATAAGGGGAATTGGCAGGAACTACGAAAATAATCAAAGTGGAGGGACCTGTTAGCTCGAGAGATCTTATATCGGTATTCTATCGTACAAAATTCACATTTTAATAAGTAGTAGCTGAAACATGATGTTTTAAATTCCTCATTATTTTCTAAGTATTCAAAGTAGGGACGCACAAATTATTACAACTTTGTATCATCGAAACCCAACTTAAATTTGTAACGTAAAATATAGGTAATGTATTGGGCCGCTCCATAACTCAAGCGGTTAGTCGCTGGCTTTTCATTGCGGCGGCCCGGGTTCGATCCCGGGTCTGCTCAAGTGGGATTTGTGGTGGACAAAGTGGCGCTGGGGCAGGCTTCCTCCAAGTACTTCGGTTTCCCCTGCCAATCTTCATTCCACCAATTGCTCCACAATAACCCTCACCTATCATCTTGGGCTGGTACAATAGGCCAGAAGTGGCCGCAGTACAAGGGACTTAGTCTCACCCCACTGGTAATAAAAAAAATTAGGTAATGTATTGAAGTATGTACAGGAGCAAGAATACTAATTAAAAATATACGAAAGAGCAAGATACAAGAGAGAATATCAACAGATACTTTTAACTACTTACTTAATCCGTTCCTCTTATACCTTACCTTGTCGAGGTTTATTTTTAATTCTGATCATTTTACAGACGGTAGGGCTCCTTGGACGAGTGATCAGCTCGTCGCAAGGCCTCTACCTAAACACAGAAAAATCACATACACATACCAAATATCAGTGCATTGTGTGGGATTTTAACCCACGATCTCGGCTTCCGAGCGAGCGAAGACAGTACATGCCTTAGACCGCTCGGCTACCGTGACCGGCAGTGTATAAGAATAATATATAAGAATTCAGTTCGTACCTCACAGGAAACAGATCCGAACCCACGATCCCGGCTTCCGAGCGAGCGAAGACAGTACATGCCTTAGACCGCTCGGCTACCGTGACCGGCACGTCATCAGATAACATGTTATAAAACTGCGCATGACACAGTCACAAGAAAGTCGCATTGCTTATGTGTGTATCTCTAGACATCATACTGCGTCGTGTTTCGAACAACGAGAAAGGATACAATTATCTGTAACGGTGATACTGCTCTATTCTCTCAACATACACTCTACGTGGTCTCTGAAATGTTGCTTTGTACATTTCCGTTCATATTTCTTTTATCAAATTATAATTCTGAATTTCTAATTAGAAACAATAGAGCATTAACCTACTTTCTTTCTTTAAAGGAAAGAAAAGTAAGTTGGTGGTCTCCATGTCTTTGCCTCACTCTGCGTGTGGCCCCCCTGTTCAAATTTCTGGAGCAGTTCACTGATCTTCATGATTTTCAAGATAAACATTATGCCATTTGAGGCCGATCTAACGCCGTGTTCTTTATATTTATCATAATTATAAATAGCATCATGGAGGCACGCGAACTTGTGAGTTGGGATTGACATTAGCTCAGTTTATAGTACTGACACGATGTACGGTAACAAAAAATGCTAAATAAACTCCGTGGCCTGTAGTCTGCAAGGGAACTATACCGACCGAGCGACCGCCGCTTGTCGACGAATTTAGTGCCAACTTTAGCAGGTAGAGGGTGTCGCGTGGTCAGCGCAACGAATCTCCACGGCCGTTAATTTTGGATTTCTAGCCCGGAAACGATATTTCCTTGAAATACCTCCTCAATTATCCTTACGAGCCTGAGTGGACCTCTTTCGAGACCCACTACTTCTCAGAAAATGTGGTAGCGCCGGGAATCAAACACGGGCCTCTGGATCTGTAGCTGGGACGTTTCTTGTACGATGTAAAGTAACCACGTGGCTGTTTTGCAACTACGTTCTTCTGTTTTCAGTTCGAGAGTAATAGCTAAGGAATTATTGAAGCTGAGGTTATCAAATTTATTACTGAGATAGATCATGATCGTTCCTGTGCATCTTTTGTGGAATATAGTTAATTGGTTAACAGTTACAAACATGGCGATACAACAAACCTTCGAGATTGTAATTTACTGATTACACTTACATAGAATCTGCATTTAAAGAAGTGTGTTCGTATTTAAATTGAAATAAAGCAGAAATAGTGATATAGATCTCATATTAGAAATCAATGAGACATAAATATAGGCACAGAGATATTGGGCTTTCGGGCTTTAGCCATCGTCCTGGTTTTTAAGATAACTAAGAAAACGGACCCAACAGAATAGGTGTTTTCCCTCACCTGAGGACGGAAACAGATCCAGTTCGCGAAACGTCGTGTTTTTCTTAGTTATCTTAAAAACTAGGACATGGATAAAGTCCGAAAACCCAATATCTCTGTGTGTTATGCACCATCGTCAGAATCCTATAGTAACTAATAAATATAGGCATTATGAATTTTGCTGATAATTTCTTGTAGCTATTAATTAAACAATAAATTTGTTACAATATGGACAATTGTTTGTAGCGGAATGGTGCAGCACTATTTAATAACATATTGTGTTACTGCTGAATCCTCAACCGGCCAAAACGCTTTTAATTTTTGTAGCGAAATGGAAGCAGTTTGTTTTGTAAAGATTCTTTTTTTTTTTAATTAAAATTGCATTTACTGCGTAAGGATATATATGTATTAACTTAATCTTGTAACTTTAA